CAGGCAGTGAAGAAAACTAATGGCATCTGGCCTTCATAGCAAGAAGATTTAAGTATCGGAGTAAGGATGTCTTCCTGCAGTTATACAAGATCTTGGTGAGGCTGCACATTGAGTAATGTGTGCAGTTTAGGTCTCCTATCCTGAGGAAGGACATTCTTGCTATTGAGGGCGTTTAATGAAAGTTCACTAGACTGATTCCTGACATGGTAGGACTGACATATGAAGAAAGACTGGAGCGACTGGACTTGTACTCGCTGGATTTTAGAAGATTGAAGGAGGATCTCATAGAACCATATAAAATCCTGATGGAACTAGGCAGGCTAGATGTGGGAAGAATGTTCCCGATGTTGGGGAAGTACAGAACTAGGGGTCACAGTCTAAGAATAAGGGGTATACTATTCAGGAATGAGTTAAGGAAGAATTTCTTGACACACAGTTGTGAACCTGTGGAATTCTCTCCCACAGGATGCTGTTGGGGCCAGTTCATTAGCTATATTCGAGGGAGGTGGACATAGCCCTTGTGGCTAAAGGAATCAAGGGGTATGAGGGAGAAAGTGGGAATGGGATACTGAGATTGCAAAATCAACCATGATCATATTGAATGGTGGTGCAGGCTCGAAGGGCTGAATGGCCTACTCTTGCACCTATTTTCTATGTTTATGTCTATGTCTATACCTGTGTATAACTTGCAGATATGGAAGTGGAATGTTGGGGAACACTGTTGTCATGTGTGAACATAAGCAGAGAGAGTCCATACCTGATTGTTCTATCACTTGCCATTGCTCTGGGAGAGGAAACATTGAAAGCCATGAACCTGTAGCCGACTGAATTAATGGATACAAAGTGGAAAGTGCAATAATGCTGATAAATGTTGCCTGTTGCACACTTAGCTTAAGGGGAAGTAAAAAGAGGGATCAAAAATCACCTACGAAATGCAATCATCTCATTCCAGCCTTAACAATGCATAGAAGTATTCAACAGCAAGATTAATCTAAAAGATATCCTGTAGTCCAGCTACAAAGATGTTCCCTGTACCTGTAACCATTTTTCCTGTCAATTGTACTGCTGGAATACTCCTCAGGCTCTGTCTAATGAACAGTGAAGGCTGGAAACTACATTCCAGATATCCCTGTCACCTAGGTTTTGTCAAAATGTCCTGAACGTGAATGTTCAATTGCTGCTTGTGCTTTCTTTTGCATGTTGCCTGATGAAGTGCCTTGTTTTCCTCATCTTTGTTTTTGTTGACTTGGCAATTCTAGTGGCCCCCTGACTGGCCTTCCATTTTCCATCCTCTGTAGATTTGAGTTCATCTACTCGAAATTTTGCTGCCCACATTCTAATTTGCCCAGGGATTCGCCAGTTCTGAATGGATTAATCTGCAGTAGTTTCCAGTTTTGCTGCACCTTGAATTTAAAAATCTGTTCCTTGTCTTTGAATTCTATCCCTCCCAACCCATCCACCCGTGCACCACCACCACCCTGGTCTCAGACCTCTCTGCCTGTAAGTTCCTAGATCCTTCCAGTAACTTTGTGTCCTCCAAGTCTAGCTTTGGGTGTTTTCCATTCCCAAAGTGGGTACCCCACCCCACCACCGCTCCTCCCCCACTCCCATTGACAGCCACATCTAGCTGCCTGAACCTGGAGTTCTTGAATTCTTCTCAGTTTGCAACCCTCCCTGTCCACTGCAAGACTGTCCTTATTGCCACCTGTTCCTAATTTGTCCTACTTCGGTTTGGTGCCAATTTTTTCCCCCCAGTGCTGTAATATCAGGCCTGTTTCCACTAGGTGGAACTCTTGTAAGCATTTCCTCATTCAGCACAGGCTTCTAAAACAGAAACTGAAAACACAGGAAACACTGACTCAGTCAGCCAGCACCTGGGAGTTCATATTTTGGGAGTAAATATTTCTTCAAAACCCATTATTCTCATTTTTATCCAAGCGAAAGCAAAATACTGCAGATGCTGGAAATCTGAAACAAACACACAAAATGCTGGAGAAACTCAGTAGATTCATCAGCATCTGTGGAGAGAGAAACTGAGAACGTTTTGAGTCCGATGTGACATCTTGTTCTGAAGACTGAAGAAGAATCATATTGGACCTGATCTGTTGATTCTGTTTTTCTTCCCTTCGGTGCACATTATTTCAATTTCATCTTTTTTAAATCAGTTCTTCCTGTCAAAGTAGACAAGCTGACATTTTCTCACATAATACTTTATTTTTGCCCATTCACTTAACCTGTCTAGATCCCTTTGCAGAAAGGAAGGTAGACAGTCTGTAAACCTAAAAGCAAGAAGTCTGCAAAATCTAGAATACTCTTTAAGTGAAGATAGACTGCAGACGTTAGACACAGAAGGATCCTGGTTCATGAATCACAAAAAGTTAGCATGCAGGAACACAGGTGACAGGGAAGGCAAATGAAATGTTGTCTATTGCAAAGAGAATGGAAAATAAAAGTAGGGAAATTTAGCTACAGTTGTACAGAGCATTTGTTAAAAACACACCTGGAGTACTGTGTACAGTTTCAACCTCTTTATTTGAAAATGAATATAATTAAATTAGAAACAGCTCAGAGAAGAGGAGTTCATGTAATTCCTTCCGGGCAAGAAGAGATTACCCTAGGAAAAAAGGTTGACTTGGGGAGGTGGTGATGTAGTGGTAAAGTGTCTGCCAGGCTAATGCTGTGTGGGTGTGGAATTCCATTCATAAATCTGGAATTAAAAGCTAGTCTCAATAATGGTCACCATGAAACCGTTATTACTATTGATACTTATAAAAATCCAATCTGGTTCACTAATTTTCTTTTAGTGAAGGAAGGCTATCGGTCTTACCTGTTCTGAAGAAGGGTCACTGGACCCAAAACGTTAACTTTGTTTTCTCTCTAAAATGCTGCCTGACCTGCTGAGATTTCCCAGCAATTTCTGTTTTTGTACCTGTCTGGCTGACACGTGACTCCAGACCCACAGCCAAATGGTTCACCTGCAAATGCCCTTTGAGATGACGAATAAACCAGTCAGTTGTATTGAACTGCTACGAAATCGAAAAGGAATTAAAACACTCTTCCTAGTAGCATTGTGTGGACTGCAATGGTTCAAGCAGTCTGAAGAGACAGTTAGGGTAGGCAATAAATGTGGATGCCCATATCCCATGAATGAATAAATTAATAAACACAATTCAGCTGAAGACCATTAATGTTTCGATAAATGCAGCGCAGGCTCCTGCAGTTGGATCATTTCCGCAGTCTTGTGGATGATAAAACATGAACACTATTGACTCTGCGTGAGTGACACCACGACAGATCTGTTATAGATTGACTGAAAATCCTATGTACAGGGTGTCCCCCGATTCTCGAATGTCTGACTTACAAATGCTCATATTCATGAATGCAATCCATCCAGGGGTGTAATTTTAAGACCTGACATATGAAATTTTCCTGTACTTATGAACAGCTGTTTTACATTATCCTTCATTGTGTTCTGAATTGCATACAAATCACCTTGCAAACAGACTCCAGAACTGAGTCCATTTGCAACCTGGGATCTGATAGTCTAGAGCATACATCCTGCAAGATTCATAATTACTTCCTGTAACATTTTCCAGTTCTGCTTTGTGGATTTGATCTTTATTGTTATATAACTGTATGTAGTTTGCCTCACTGTGTGCAAAGCTTAACTTTTATCTGAGCTAAACATGGAAGGGAATGTAACTGACATGTACAAAATGTTGTTGGTTCATTCAGCTACAGCATGTTACATAGAGATTTGTTTTATTTATGTAACTGCGAAATGTGAGTAAAACATTTATAAATAAAAGGAAGCAGGAGGAGCCCTTCATTCTGCTGTGCTGTTTGATGTGGTTATGGCTACTGTTCTGTCTCCACCCCACTTTCCCACCCACTCTCAAATTCCTTGATTCCCTGAGAGATCAAAAGAGAGAGATCTACCTCAGTCTTGGATATATTCAATGATGGCACATCTATGACCCTCTAGGATGCAGAATTGCACAGATTCATAACCTGCTGAGTGAAGACGTTTCTGCTCATTGTCTTGCGTTCTAGATTCCCAGCCAAGGGATTTTTCCTGCAGTGTGTAAAGAAAACACTGCTTGTTCTGGTATTCATGTCAGAAATATATTTTTGCTTATAAGCATTGCTGCGAAAGATCCATAGATGTAAAAGCCACTTGCTTGAAGTGTTTGTGAACTGAGCCACACAAAATTGACCACACAAATGAATTGCCGATGTATTGTGTACACCCCTATCACCTGTGAGGATATTGCTGTGAAATTTTTCACAGGACATGTGCATTTCTCTCTTAGTCACTGTTCATTGTGGCTTCCTACTTAATGTCATAGGTGTTCCTGGATTGCTACCATTTTAAAGGTAATATCATAGAATGATGAATCTCACAAGAAGGCCATTTATCCAGTTGTGTCAGTGCGTCTTAATGCAAGAACATCTCAGCTAGTCACCTTTTCCATGCAGCTTTATAAACCTTCCTCCTCAGATAATTATCCAATTTACTCTTCTCTCAGAATAGTGGTGAATCTGTGAATTCTTTACCGTAGATGGCTAACGAGGCTAGATTGTTAAGTATATTCAAGGCTGAGATAGAAAGATTTTTAATCAGCAAGTGAGTTGAGGGTTATGGGGAAAGGCAAGAAAATAGAATTGAGGATTATCAATTCAGCCATGATCTCATTGAATGACGGAGCAGACTTGATGGGCTTCATAGCTTACTTCTGCTCCTATATCTTATGGCTTTATGATTCTGCCTTTGCCATGCTCTCAGGCATTGCATTTCAATGCTGAGCACCTGCTGGTAAATCTGTTTTTCTTCATGTCACCTTTTTTATAGAAAGAGAAATGTTTGGAAGTAAGAATTGTGTTTTTGCTTCAACTGTACAATCATTTTAGCTGTTGCAGGAATTTTCTGTGCGGTAATTTTTTTTCCACTTTTAACTGTTTTGCTTCAAATTTTAAACCTCTTGTAACTTTGTTTGCAGAGAGGAATGTTGGAACAATGTCAGCCAAAAGACCAGAAGAATCTTTCTACGATAATGATCCTAACAATCCTTTTAATGAACAGTATGAGAATTCTCTCAATCCCTTTGATGTATGTGATTCTCAACCTCACAGGATTATTGAAAATAGGATAGAAGCAATAGAACCACCTAAACCAACGAAGAGACAGAATGTCAAACCTGTGGACATGAGCAAGTACCTCTATGCCGATACAACCAAAACAGAGGAGGAAGAATTAGATGAGTATGTTATTAAAATATTCCAATATCTGATTTGAATCTATTTTGTATACCTAATAGCACACAGGCTCATATCTTAAAAACTTACGATTGATATCCTATGGATACACTTAAACCTTCAATGATGCTGAAAGAGATCATTACCTGTTTGTTCACCTGTGTAAGCTGAGTTTAATAGGTATTAAAAATCATATAGTCGGAGCATCCAATTTCATGCACTTTAGTTTAGTCAATTAAGTTTCCAGTACATTTCTTCTATAAAATGCATCAAAGGAGACGGTTGCATGAATAAATACTGCAGCTTACACCATAAAAGATATCTATTTATTTATTTACATTCACCCCATGTTCGAACTGTTCATATTTTTCTTCAGCTCAGGTGGGAACAGGTGAACAGCAGGTTTCATTAACCTCAATACTAATTTGGTTCATTCCTTGGGAACACCTTTTCCAAATAATATTTCCATATTGTGAATAAATTGCATTTAGCATGTCAGTATAATTAAACTCTTTCAGACATGTGTCGAACAGTTTCAGAGAAAGATACTGGGAATGTTGGGGGTTTAGGTTGTTAGGCTTGCAACCATTGTGTTTCGAGTTTAGATACTAGTCATTTAAAATATTTTAAAATTATCCTCTCTTACTGAGGAGATAGCAAGAACTGCAAATGCTGGAAGTCAGAGTCGATACAATGTGGAGCTGGAGGTACACAGCAGGTCAGGCAGCATCAGAGGAGCAGGAAAGTCGACATTTCAGAGCAGGACTCAGTTTTCTCAGCTTTTGGACAGATCATTACTTCATTTGAATTCTGAAGCTTGAAATGTAGGATGTAATGGTCTAGTGATATTATTGCAAATTATTAATTTCAGACACCCAGGTAATACTCTGAGCAAATTATCAAGTTGGTGGTGTAGTGGACAGTGAAGAAGGTTATCTAAGATGACAAAGAGATCTTGATCATTTGGGTCAATGGGCTGAGGAATGGCAGATGGAGTTTAATTTGGATAAATGCGAGGTATTGCAATTTGGTAAAACAAACAAGAGTAATAGTAGAGTCCTGGGTAGTATTGTAAAATAGAGAGACTTAGGGATAGTAGGAACTGCAGATGCTGGAGAATCCGAGACAACAAGGTGCAGGGCTGGATGAACACAGCAGGCCAAGCAGCATCATAGGAGCAGAAAGGCTGACGTTTCGGACCTAGACCCTTCATCAGAAAAAGCTTTTTCTGATGAAGGGTCTAGGCCCGAAACGTCAGCCTCTCTGCTCCTGTGATGCTGCTTGGCCTGCTGTGTTCATCCAGCCCTGCACCTTGTTGTCTCAGAGAGACTTAGGGGTTCAGGTACATTATACTTTGTAATTTGCATCACAGGTAGACAGGGTGGTTAAGGCATTTAGTATGCTTGCCTTCATTGCTCAGACCTTTTGAGTATAGAAGTTGGGATGTCTTGGTGAGGCCTCTCCTGGAGTACTATGTGCAGTTCTGGTCTCCCTGCTATTAAATTGGAGAGGGTTCAGAAAAGATTTACGAGGGTGTTGCCAGGAATGGAAGGTTTGAGTTATAAGGAGAGACTGGATAGGCTGGGAATTTTTCACTGGGGTGTAGGAGGTTGAGGGGTGATCTTAGAGATTTATAAAATCATGAGAGGCATAGATAAGGTGAATAGCAAGAGTCTTTTCCCTAAGGTGAGGGATTTCAAGACTGTGGGGCATATTTTTAAGGTGTGGAGAAAGTGTTAAAAAGTATATGAGGGACAACATTTTTACACAGCGTAGTTTATGTGTGGAATGAACAACCAGAGGAAATGGTGGATGCAGGTACAGTTACAACATTTAAAACAAATTTGGATAAGTACATGAATAGGAGAGATATGGGCCAAATGCAGGCGAGTGGGACTAGTTTAGTTTGGGAACATGGTTGGTGTGGACTATTATGACTCTATAATTTAAATTCAATAAAAATTTGACGTTAAGATTCTAATAATGACCATGAACCCATTGTCAATTTTTAGAAAAAAAAATCTTATTAACTAATGTCCTTCAGGGAAGGAAATTTCCATCCATACCTACAACTGACCACATTAGGAGTGGGCAATAAATGCTGGCCTAGCCAGAGATGCCTTCATCCCATGAATGGATTAAAAAAAAGTAGTTCTTGCTGATAAAACTGTACCTCTTTAGTGGGTGAATTTAGTTTTCCAAAACTTCGCCGACAGTCAAGGCAGAATTCAGAGAAGATCATTTTAATAAAGGTGGCTTAAGTTTATAAGGAGGAATTTTTGCAGGATTATGTAAGTATTAATGACAGCATTTGTCTTTTCTCATCTTCCATGCTCCAGTTCATCATTTGTTTCTAAATTATAATTGGTTTATTTTTTGTAATTTCGCTATCTTTATTCACTATGAAATGTAGTTGTGGGACCTTAGTTTATAGTGTAAGATATCACCAATATTGAAGACGTTAGGAAAAAGGAAGTAGAAATTCAGAGGCTTGGAATGGATCATACAAACCTGTGGGATTGTAAATGGAAGATCTGAGATAAGAATTTGGATGGTTTTTAAGTGCTTAGGAAGATTGAGTTAGATTCTCTCCAAACTTCCTCACCCGGAGGACAGACATTTGAACCTTTTAAGGTGTTAGTTTGAGTCAGTGGTATGTGACCTAAAAATAGTGCCAAGTGTTGTTGACGTTTTCTGAAACTCCATAATCTATTTGCATCAGTACAAACTTTGACTGATACGTGCAAGATCACAAATGACATGATTTGTTGCTTGTGTCATTTCTTTTAATGTCTAGCTGTTGTTTTACTGCTTTATGTTTGATGTTAACCAATGAAATTAAGTAGAAACTAATAAAGTGTTACAATTCTAAATTCAAATTCTGTGTTCACAAAGAGCAACAGTCATTTTGCGCCAATTTCACTTTTAATACCTTTACCCTTTTACTTCTAAAGTTTTAAACTAGTGATGATTGGAATATTCCTCAGAGACTCCTTCTGTCAGCAGGTTAAATTTGGTCCTGTCATCCTCATCTTTCATTCGAGTATCTTGGTCTTATTGGAAGTTCATGAATGACAGATCGATCTGGAAGGCAAGCTTCAAGACTGACATCTGATGTGCACTGAAAGTGCCTAGTTGTTTGTTTCCTTGTCAAGTGCTTTACCACAGCAAAATAGAGGTCGATCAAGTATAAGACACAAGAGCAGGCTAATTGACCAATTGTGTTTTTTGTATCTAGAGGATCATCTTGCTTTCCTATTGATAGTGAATGGAAAGTTTCCCTTTTTCTCATTTAAAAAATAATTGAAACCTACTCCATGATGAATTTTGTTTCCACAAAGAGCTTTATATCAATCTGAGAAGTTTAATATTAGGTTAAATTTGTTGTTGTTTTGATATCAACCTGTTGACAAAACTACAAATTAGTACTGATTTTTCTGACTTTTTTTTCCTCAAACTACTCTTGTAAAGGTGCAGCAAGAAAATGGACAAATAAGCATATGTTTGACATTTTTAAAATGACTGTCATTTTCTCAACTAAACTAAAACTGTTTGGTTTCAAAGCTATGCAAGTGATTGCATTAAGACCAGTCATGTTTATTTTCACTTTTTTGGTGTGGTTAGAAATATTACTTAAAATTAATATTAAAGCAGATTTTATATTTTCAAACTGAAACCGTCTATGCAAATGACATATTGTCAAGAGCGATAGGAAGCCACTTAATATCTGAGTGCGGACCTTAAGATAAGAATTGAACATTCATTTAAATGTTTAGTAAGAAGTACCGAACAGGATTATCTTTTAACCATGAAAATCTTATCACAGCAGATGTCTGTAAATTTTTTGTTTATTCAGCAGATCAAAGGTTATAAGATGCAACAAAAATACTGTACATGATTTCTGGAATGAGAAGAAAATATATTTTAAGGAAGGAAGTTGTCAAAGGCATATTTTTCTGTTTTAATTAGATCTAATCCATTCTATGAGCCGAAGGCTGTACATTCTACAAAGTATCAAACCACATTAGTGACAGCTTCAGTACAGCAGCCTGACACAGAAAAAAAGACAAAGAGGAGAGCACCATCACCTCCAGCACCTGACAATACATCCACACCAAAGTCAGAAACTGTAAAGGTGTACATCAAACCAGCTGCTGTGATGGATATATCCTCATCACCAAAGGTATGGTTTAGCAGTAGATTCATTATAATTCTCAGTTCACTTTTTTTTGAGTTTTGAGCTTTTAATGTTCTATAGCATGGCAAATGTTTAGATAGTAAGGATAATGGATAATTTAGCTTTAAATATTTTGCAAATTTAATAATTTGTACAAGATTCTGTTAGGTATATTAAAGAAAACAGGAAGTAAATGACCCAAAACGCAGAATATTTGCTCAAATGAGTCACAGTAGCAACGCAACATTGTTTCTGACATTTATTGTGAAATCATTTTCCTCAGCATTCTGCAAACAGTGCCCTTCAGCATTTAAAAAATGTAGTGCTGATGATTCTCCTACTACTGCAGAAAGATTCATAGAAACCCCACCCAACTTGGAAGTTTTGTTTGAAATTATTTTGCAATTATAAAGGGGACCAAATAGGAGTAATTCAAAATATTATTTTAGTTACAGATTTCAGATAATGACCTGAGCCATTCATTAAAGCCCATGTGTCTCACAGATTATCTGAACTCCAAAATTTGTTAAAGTTTTGAAATTGTCCTAGGGCATTTACTTTTTGGTGAAGTAGACTATTTGAATTTCATATTTTGTTTAATTTTTGCTTTGTATTAGTAAAAGCTACAAATACTGATGTTAATCAGTTGATCTATAGTCTTGATGTAGGATGTTCAAAATGGTTGATAGTTGTGGTACCTTTGGTGAAAATCTATCAAACAATTTATAGCTTAATATAGAATTTTTATGAGTAGAATATAGCTTAATTCTGTAACCTTTCAGAATCTGAATGTCAGCAATGGTCTTGTACTAAATTTCAATATTTCAGGCATTGAGAAATGTATTATCAACCTTTTGAATAATTACCAGTATGTAGGCAACATCATCAAATTTAATTCACCTCTTACAAGATTAAGCAATGGGATTTTTTGTCCTTTTCTCACTTATATAGAGGTTGTGGCATGAAGGGGTGGCAAAGGGAAGGGAATAATCTGTTTTACTTTTTGCCTTCCTCTTAGAAATAAGAAAAACAAGTCAAGAATATTTGCATTAAACAGTTTGTACAATCTGATTATAAGAAAGCGATTATTGTCTTTGAATCTTATATGCAAGTAGCCAATCTTCAGACAAGCATCTGTTACTGACTACAAGGTTGTAGCGTGCCTATAGAGTTTTTTTTAATGGGTTACAGGAATTGCTGACAAGACCAGTATTTGTTGCCCATCCCTAATTGCCATTGATCTAAATGGCTTGCTCAGTCATTTCAGAGGGAAATTAAGAGTCAACCACATTGCTATAGTCTGGAGTCAAATACAGGCTAGATTGGATAAGGATGATAGATTTCTCCTCCTGAAGTACATTAGTGAATTTGATGGGATTTTTTTTAATAACAATTGATTATAGATTCATGGCTGTAAGTACTGAGGCCAGCTTTTAATTCCAGACTTCACAAATCAAATTTAAACTCGAGGCGGCATGGTAGCTCACTGGTTAGCCCTGCTGCCTCACAGCGCCAGGTACCCAGGTTCAATTCCACCTTCGGGTGACTGTCTGTGTGGAGTTTGCACATTCTCCCCATGTCTGCGTGAGTTTCCTCCGGGTGCTCCGGTTTCCTCCCATTGTCCAAAGATGTGCAGGCTAGGTGGATTGGCTATTCTAAATTGCCCATAGTGATCAGGGATGTGTAGATTAGGTGGGTTACAGGGGAGTAGGTCTGGGTGGGAAGCTCTGAGGTTCGGTGGGGACTTGATGGGCCAAAGGGCCTGTTTCCACACTGTAGGAATTCTATGATCTATGATCAGCATAGTAGAATTTGAACCCGTGTTCCCCAGACCATTAACCTGGAACCATTAGATTACTAGTTCAGTGATAATGCCACTAGGCCAGTGTCTCCCAAAAGCTGTAAAGTTGTTGGAGTTACTGGATGTTAGCCAGTTCAGGAACACTACCACAGTGGTTTTAATTACTGGACTAATTAGAGACCTGGACTGATTAGATGGAAACACAACATCTCACTGTAGTAACCAGGAAATTTGAATTCAGTTCATTAAGTGGAAAAAAAATAAAAAGCTGCTGTCCTTAATGGTAACTGTGTAACTAATGGATGGAAAATCATTGATGTCATTTGGGGAGGAAATCTATCATCCTCACCCAGTCTAGCACCCAGTGTGAAAGTCTACATTTTCAGCAGTGTGGTTAACCCTTAGTTGGGCAAGCTGTCCAACATCATTTTGAGGGCAGTTAAGGATGGGCAGGTCTGGCCTTGACAATAGTGCCCATATCTGACAAATGGATTGAAAAGAAAACTTAGCCTCTATTTTCTCGTCATCTTCTCCCCTGAGAACATTAAAATCACTTCTGATGTAGTTCCACTGGACACAATACATTTTCCATAAGCTGATTGAAGGTAAAAGCATACACCCCAGTCAAACGAATCAGACACTTGGTTTAAAGATATGATTTTGATTGTTTTTAAAGGTAATTTCTTAATCTTGTATTTACTTGAGCGCAGTATTTTACATTTGATTTTTAATGGCTTAGTGTAGGTAGGGGATTTATGTTAAGAACCTGTTACTAAAGATATGGCTACTTAGATTACAGTGATTTTCAGACCCAAATAACAGACCATGAAATCCCCATTAAATTCCGATTGCAAACTGCATTTGAATTTAGGTTTTTGTAGAGAATGTGTATGTATCAAGCATTAGCTGAGACCAAATTGGTAATGTGTCCATTTTCGTGCTGCATGAAGGCAAATAAAGCTGCTGATTAAAGGAGTGTCAAAGTCAGAATGTAACTACAGTTAGAAATAACGGTTCAAAATTGTCAACACCTTTTAAATTTTTGACTATTTGGGTAGAAAGTGTCTTATTATATCATTAATGATCAGAAGAATATCACGTTCAGCGAGGAGAAGACCTGTCACTTACATTCTATCTAGCATCTCTTTGTTCTATTACTATCAATGTTTGATCCTAACTTTAATGAACACCAAGTTGCTATTTCTGCTTCCTGTGGAAACAAAAAGAATGATATGAATATATACAAACCTCAATGTCTCCAACAACTAATGATTTTGGCTCCCTTTGAAAAGCACCAATTAACCCAAAAGAACTACTGGTGCTTCTGTACTTTTTCTTGGAATCTGCCTCTCATGTTCTTTGTCACTTTGTAGATGCCAAACAATTTTTCAATCTGTTTTGGTGCAGGTGACCCACCCCATTTAGCTTAGTGGCTCAATAACTAAGCCAAATAGACCAGGGAGATTGCTAGTCAGTGCTGGTCTGATGGTGTTTATTACCAGATTGACTGGTGCACCTGTACTGTTGCCTCAGAATTTATAACATTGCTGATTCAGAAAATATTCTAATTCATTGTACAGTTTATACACATTTAGATTTATTGAGCCTGATGTCTCTCAATTTGAGAGTATTGGCACATTTGTCATGCAATTCATAAAATCTCAGTCAGAAGTCTTATACATACTGCTGCTTTGTACAGACCAGTGTACTAGAACTCACTGAACTTCCTGCTTTAGTCCTTCACAATGCATCAGATGGTTCTGAAGTTTCAATGGTCAGTGATAAGCTCTGTGCATTTAGTACTGTTTCAGTTGTGTTCAGTAATGTTTTCAGAATTTACTCCATTTGTTGAATTCCAGATGACCTTTGTATGAATAAAGGTAAACAGGATTATGACAGCCATTTTCAACAATGGAGAGAGCAACAAATGTAACTGACTTTGAGCGTGGAAATTTTTTTGATGCCACATAGCCTGGAGGCAGCGCTGTCAATGTGTCTAAAGTGACAAGGAAGATCGAAACAAGCATTTAAAAATACTAAATGCATTAAAGAAAAGAGCACATCATACAAAGTAAAGGAGGGGGCATGCACTTTTGATGTGGTGTGAAGAATAGGCATGCGTCCTTAATAACTGTCCACAAAAGCTTTAGTTAGCCTCAGGGCGTCTAGTTTGTATTTATGTAACATTAAAATAATTATGAAGAAATGATTCAGAATCTGTTGTGAATATTCTTAAGCAGCTATTAAATAAATAATAAGTAGATCACTGACGATGTTGTTCTTAGTAAGTCTTTCTTTTACCTACGTGTGCTCTTCTAATTCTGGCTGTCTTTCCCTGTTTCTCACCTTTGTTGTTGCTGTCTGCATTACTCTTCTGCTTTTCTGTAATTGAGCAGAAAAGCCATCCATACATTGCAAACAGAATAGGACTGGCTGAGAATGAATAGGGCCAGAGGGGAAGCATTAAAATTGAAATTTGGATGGGACATAGGTAAACAACAGGTCTTTCAGACATGAGAGATCATAAGACCAGAAGAAATAGGAACAGGAGTATGCAGTTTGGCCCCTCAAGCTTGCTGTGCCATTCAGTAGGATTATGGCTGATCTGACAATCCTCATGTCCACTTTGCTGCCCTTTATCCATAAACCTTGATTCCCTTACTTTGCACTGGGGATCATTGTGGTGAACCTTCTCTGAACTGCCTCCAATGAAATGATATCTTTCCTTAAATAAGGGGACTAAAACTGCTCGCAGTACTCCAGATGTGGTCTCACCAGCACCTTGTACACATGCAGTAAGGCCCTTTGTTTTTAAAAAGAATGTGGCAACACTACAAGGTCAGCAGTTATTATCCCATTCTAAATGCCGTTGAATTGAATGGCTCACTCAGCCAATTCAGAGGGCAGTTGAGTTGACCATATTGCTCTGGGCCTAGCGTCTCATTTAGATGAGACCAGGTAAGGACAGCAGATTTCCGTCCCTAAAAGACGTTAGTGAGCCAAAGGAGTTTTTATAACAATCAGTGATAACTTCATGATTACCATCACTGAGACTAGTTTTCAATTCCAGATTTATTTAAAACAAAATGGAAATTGCTGGAGGAACTCAGTGAGCCTTTAGAAGTGTTGCTGAACTCAAAACGTTATCTCTGCCTTCTCTTCATGGATGCTGCCAGATCTGTTGAGTTTCTCCAGCAATATCTGTTTTTATTTCAGGTCTTCAGCTTCTGCAGTTCTTTGTTTTATTCCGGATTTATTAAAGTTTCGGCAGCTTCTTTGGTGGATTTGAGGCCATGTTTCCCATAACATTAGCCTGGTTCTCTGGATTATTAATTGAGTGACATTACCATAATGCAGCTGTCTCTCCAAGATGTAAGGTGCATACTTACAGATTTTCTTTAGCTACAGTTCAAACCAAGAGGCTGCCAAACAGGAAATCTTGAAGAGTGGATAGAAGAGACCCTGAGTGAAATTAGGTGATACATGCCACAATTGGAACATGTGTTTGAAGACATTGGCCTGAGACTCACTGAAAATTTGGCCTCAAATCTCTTCTCAAACATAAACTGCAGATGCTAATCAAGTATCCTGGCATACCTGGTCAGCTGTCCAGTTTTCATGTTGAACCAGTCTGCAGGTACATCTGGCTGGCCTGAGCTAAGGTGGGGAGAGTGGACTTATGCTTCTGACAGCTGTATCAGTCAAACCTATCTCCACAGAAACAAAGTATTAAAATGTGTGCTTAGTCATATCTGACTGCACTCTGAAAGTACATCATTGACTGTAAGTTGTTTTGACATATCCAGTTGTTGTGTAAAGGATTGAAGGAATGCCGATTTCTCTTTCTTCCAGGTTTTGTGAATAGTCTGCAATGGTGCCTTTAATGCTGGTTTGGCCACTGAAAAAGAGGAAACGGTGCATGTGTATAGTGGATGTAATGCCCCATTGATGATTGTCCACAGAGATGAAAGTAGATGTTATGATCCTGATTTGCATCCTGAGCACTAAATTTGATAGCTGCCAGATCTTCTGAGAGAGAGCATGATTTCAAATTGGTGGGAAATAAAGAATCCTTCTGCTGAATAAGGGACCAGTTTATCCATCCTGAAAACAGAAAAATGCTCAGTGGGTCTGGCAGTATCTGGGGAGAGAGAATGAGTGAATGTTTGAGGTTGATGATACTTTATCAGACAAAGTTTCTTCCTATGCTGTTGGGATGGAAGGAGATATCGAGTTATGCTGCCGGATCTCGACAGGGCAGCCTATTTTAGCTTGGTAAAGACATTAGCTCTGGACCTTCTGAACTGTGCCAAGCTTAAGTAGTTGTTTGGTGATACAGAACTGGAGAATTGCTGGAGAAATACATATTTAGTCAAAACTCTGCCTTCTTGCATATGTCAGGGCATTATGCAAGAAATACCAATGTAAACGGAAACCAACATTTATACTATATGAGAAGTAAGTGCAGATTGGTTGGCAAGTGGACTCTTAACTAGTTGAGACATTGCCATGGAGAATGCACTAGTTAGATGTTGATTGATCATTAACTACCGAGTTTTGTTTAAATTTTAAACAAGGCAGGTTGATTCTATCTGGTCGAGGCATTGCTCTGTGAAATGAATCAGAGAATGGCTGTCACCTATTTTTGGGTTGGAACAGTCTCAATCCTTGTACATGTTTCAGTCTGCAAAGAACAGGGACCTTCACGTTAATAGATGTAGCTTCAAATGTTTGCAAATGCACTGCACTGCAAACCTGATTGACTAAATTGGTTGTCAATGTAATTCTTCGCACACCCAGAATTATTGAGAAAATGTTGAAGGAAGGGTCACCGGACCCGAAATGTTAACTCTGTTTTTTCCTTCACAGATGCTGCCAGATCTGCTGGGTTTTTCCAGCAACTTTGTTTTTGTTCCTGTTAGGGGAATAGATAGTTTGTTGTTGGAGTGGAAGGCAGTGATAAGTTGGGTATTGCATGTATCAGAACTTGCACCCCAGCTTTTCACAATATATGGCAACGATTTGGATTAGGGAATGAAGTGTAATTTTGCCAAGTTGGCTGATGAGACAGGAAGATGTAAAGAGACTTTAGCATGATTTAGACAGATTGGGTGAATGTTCAAGTGAGTAGGTGCAGTTTAACGTAAGTAAGTGTGAATTTGTCCACTTAGGTAGGAAAAATCAAATGGCAGACTATTATTTAAATAGTGGAAGATTTGGAAATGTTGAAGAACAAAAGGACCTGGGTGTCCTTACTCACCACTCATTGAAACCAAACATGTAGGTTCAGCAAACAGTTAAGTAGGCAAATGGTATTCTTCTGTTGTCTATTGCAAGCTTAACTTCACTGGTGTTCTTCTTTAAAAGGGGAATTGAGTACAGAAGCAAGGAAGTCCTACTGCAGCTATAGAGGGTCTTGATGAGATCTCACCTGGAGTATTGTGTGCAGTTTTAGTCTCCTTACCTAAGAAAAGGTATACTTACCATCGAGGGAAAGCATGAAGGTTCATCAGACTGATTCCTGTGATCGCAGTTTTGTCATATAAGAACAGATTGGGTTGACTGGCCTGTATTCATTAGAGTTTAGAGAAAAAGAAGGAGACTTTTTGAAATGTAAAAACTTCTGACAAGTCTAGACAGTCTGGGTGCAGGGCTGATGTGTCCCCTAGCTGTAGTTCAGAACAAGGGGTCACAGTCTCAGGATATGCAGTAGGCTATTTTGGACTGAGATGAGAATGTCTTCAATCAGAAGGTGGTTAACCTGTGAATTCTTTACAACAGGAGGCAGTGAAGGTGAAGTTGCTGAATATGTTTGAGAAAGAAATACATTTCTACAGGCTAAAGATGCAGTGGGGTATGTGGGGAAAATGGGAATAAAAGTATTGAGAGATAGGGATCAGCCATGATCATAAGACCATAAGAAACAGGAACAGGAGTGGGCCATTCAGCCCCTTGAGCCTACTCCACCAATCAATAAGATCCGACAGTCCTGATGTCCACTTTCCTGCCGTTTCCTTACAATCTTTGATTCCCCTTCTGGTCAAGAATCTTAGCTATCTCAGCCTTTGATATACATAAGGACTCTGCCCCCAGAGCTCTCTGTGGCAAGGAGTTCCAAAGACACTCAACCCTCTGAGAGAAGAAATTCCTCCTCATCTCATTCTTAAATTAGTGCCCCTTAATTCTGAGACCATGTCCTCAGGACCTAGAATCCTCAGTGAGGGGAAACATCCTCTCAGCATTTCTCAGCATTTACCCTGTCAAGCTCCTTAAGAATCTACATGTTTCAACACTCAGCAATTAACAATGATATAACTCACCTTGCCTATTCATGTTATAGTAACACCACAGAGCTGGCCAGTTGTAAGTTTCAAACTGACTGCCTACTAACCTAATTCTGCCTGTATTCTGCTAATACAAACCCAAGAGAGGAAATTGCAAACCTCCAACCTTAAATCACAGAGGGCTACAACCAGTTCAGCTCTGGTACTCTTCTCCAGCATCTTGGCTATCTGTCAAAGTCAAGACTCCAAGCAGAGGCCTATACTTTTAACTCTAACAAACGCCATCTATAAATTCTGAAACAAATGTGTCATATAATATACCTTATAATTTAATTGAAACAAAAAGCCTTTTGTCCATATTGAATGGAGACAATGTCTTGTACTGGCCTAAAAGGTTTGTCATTTACTGACCAGGCTGGTCTGTTAACAAAGACAGTTCGCCACATCTTCAGATTACCTAGTATCCATACACCAAGAATGTTACTACCAGTTTATCTAGATCTATTTAAAGAACTTGTCTTTGAAAGCTTCCTTGCATGATGCTGTTTCAACCTATTCCCTCCTGATCAATGTGATATTAAAGCAACTGAAAGAATCAAGTGCCAGCAAGACTTAATTTTGTCACTGGGTTAAATTCCAGTAATCAGAATGTGTTTATGATCTTACTGGATTTGCTAAGCAGGAAGCTAAAATAAATTATTAGTTCATTCATTTTATATGACACTTCCCATATTCCTAGTGCACAAAGGCATTTTGAAATAAATGTATTACTTTCAAAGTGCAATCAATATTGCATAGTCAAATATAATAGTGAGTTTGAATCACAAATCCTGTAGAAAACAATGAGTTCGATGAGCAGGTGATCAGTTTTGGTAGTGTTCTTTGAAAATAAATGTTAATTCAGATGTCAGGAAAGCTCCATCTG